CTAGCGGTAAAGAAGTAGAATGCTGATCATGAGTGCAAGCAGTTGTTGGTATCTAGACTATCATCTACTCAAGGGCTCTTATGTATGGAAACGTTAATTGGGCACCTATGGAAGCTTGACCACGGAATCCCGTGGTCCGTGATAATTTATATGTTGTCATGTCGACATATATTAGTGCGACGTAGCGTGTTTTATCATGGTTTTGATGGAGAAACATAGAATCTTTACAACATCTGTATCAGGTCATGTCGACATAGCTTTTTTCTATTATTAAACAGGACGGGCACCATTTGAACGTCATAATTATTATTCGGAAACAAAATCCCGCCCATCGAATAATGACAGACGTGCTGTATAACTATATCGTTGATTTTATTTATAAACCAAATATTTTGAATTGTCTATTGTTAAGAAAACAATTCGACTATATTAAAAGTTTCTCTGTCTGATGTTTAATTTGATCTTAATGTGTGAATTGAGTTGATTTTTACCATTTTTACTGTGAATTTCGTTTAATAACCTTACTGAAAATAAAACAAGTTAAATAACTTAAGTACCCTTTCGTCGGACACTTTTGAATATATACATAACAGTTAGTTTCATGCATATACTCACATTCGAATGCATTTTGTACGCTAGCTTGTATCTATCTGGCTGGCAGTAAAAGCAGTCAGTGCTTGATATAAAAAACGTATTGATATGCATTACTATTTAAAAGATATCCGGATACCATTGAACGGACATTTCAGTTAGCAACCAAATCTACTGTTTTGATAATTATGATATTGATAACTTTGCAAATGAAAGTATATCGGTTAGTATAGGTATATTAACAATGTTTATGACAGTAAAATGCAGAGGGACACAAAACACGGACGTCTGAACACCTTTCGATGTTTTCCTGCAAACTATTCTGTCAATTTATATGTCATAATTAACTATTGAAAAAGTGATTGGCAGTATAACAGTTGCATATATGTGCCTATTTACGGTTGAAAACGTCATATATGTAAGTTAAGTACAAATGGGTTCCATCTGAGGGCCGTCTGGGCACATAATCACTGTGTTAATGTATATATCAGTTGAGTCACTTACAGCTTTGCTGTATAAGTAATATGCTGAAGACACCATGATAAAGACGTATAAGTAGTCTCGTATAAACATCCTTATAAGGACATTTGAATTTTAATCAATATCTATACAATATGAAGTGCATTTCCCACTAGCAAACAGTCAAATATTCCTCTGGGCAACAATATTTCTAATAAATTTAATCATTTATTATTATTCAACTGATTTGTTTGCGTGTGTTTTTTTTTGTATTATTCTAACTACATTTGAACTCCTTTCCAAACGTTTTTGGTAATCTTTTAATTTCATCCGTACAATACTATTACTAAGAACAGTACACTTGGCTGTAAACTGAAATGTCCTTTCAAAGAGATCCAAACGTCTTTCTAATGATAAGTGTATATACGTATGTCATGGTTCAGAACTGTTCACTATTTAGAGGAGATGATGTGTAAGCGGCCGGATAGCCGCGGTACGTTATTACGCGACAACCCGGATTCGAGTCCCGGTCAGGCTTCACTTTTTTTTCTCACCCTGTGACACGTATATAAAATATAAACGATGTTAACAAAGCACTGACTAAAATTATTTATCTAGAATAACATCTAGTTAGATAAAAACGCATGAACAAAATGCACTGCATATACGGACATATACCAAATTGTGTATTAAAATGCAATTGACCTTTCAAAGTGTCTACCGAAATGTGCTTCCAAGGATGAACCATTCAATGTATTTAGTTTTTGGTTTGGTGGGAGGGGTCTAGATTTCGAATGTTAATTAGGTATTTCTGGTATTTCTGACAGTGCCAATGATGTAAAGACGTGGTGATATTTTTCAAAAAGCAGAGATATAACAAGGCTTGTCGAGATGAAATAGGTTGACATAGCTTTTGTAAATTCTCATAAACTCTATTACTGACAAAATATATGTCGGTATGCTTTGAAACAAACGTTGTCAATACGTCTTTCCTATGCCACTTAACAATGATAGAGGACGTCATGTCGCGTAAATATATATCGACATGACGACACACAAGTAGTCACGAACATGGCATCTAGGGGGTCAATTCAAGCCTCCATAGCTCAGATAAGCTTACGAACTTATCATATTATGTTCACACCACTATTCGAACTTAAATTTCCAAAGTTTTGTTTTCTGTTGTCTTGTTTGTTGATAACACGGTTTATGTTACGGAAGATACATAAAAAGTTCTAATGAATATATGAATTTAAAGTATTTTATGTTGCGTAAGTGGGTTGAAAAGATTGTTTGTTAAACCAACCCGTAATGCTTGAAACTTATAATGAATAGAAACGTACATAAAACATATCTTTCACAAGCTTTGAAGAAAAAATATCTTAAAGGCATATTATGACTCAGAAATAAATAAATAAATAAATGTTTCATTCGTTAGAAAATGAGAAAGTTTAATAGTCCCCTACCGGTTTAATCGTATGGGACTTTAGGTTTACCCCCGTCCGTCTGTTTTCCCGTCTGTCTGTCGTCCGTAAACCTGTACTTTAAAAGATATCTTTTCATAAACCACTGAGCTAATTTCATCCAAACTTGACAGGAATGTTTTTTGTGATAACCTTTAAAAAAATTTAAATAATTTAATTCCATGCAGAACTCTGTTTGCCATGGCAACAGAAAGAAAAAAAACTTTTAAAATCTTCTTTTAAAAATCCAAAAAGCTTGAGCTTAGATATTTTGCATGAAACATCTTGTAGAAAGTTTCTACAAATCTTATTTAAGTAAAAGTCATGGGGGCCAAAATTGGCCCCGTCTTAGGGGTCATTAAAATATCCTAATATGTTTATAGTAAAAACTTTAAAAATATATTCTATATATTCTAGTCCAAATGGCTAGAGCTTAGATAATCAGAATTAAACATCCCTAAGTGAGTGTCTACAAGATTTTCAAATAAAATCACTGGGATCAAAATTGGCCCCGCCCCGGGAAGTCATTAATCTACCTTATATGTAAATAGTAAAAAACTTAAAAGTCTTCTTTTAATAAAACAAGAGGGACATGATGGCCCTGGATCGCTCCCCTGACACATCAACCGCATCCAAGCAATGTCATAGACAAGCATCCTGGCCAAGTATGATGACATTTGAGTCAAAAATGTGACATCTAGTGTGTTAAAAAGGTTTTTCCATATTTAGGCAATATGACCTAATTTTTAACCGGAGACGACCCATATTCGAACTTGACCTAAAAATTATCAAAACAACCTTCCTGACAAATAACCAGAATATTTAGATCTAAACTGCAGCCACTAGTATTAAAAATATTTTTCTATTTTTAGCTCCTGTGACATAGTTTTTGACCGGAGACGACCCATCTTCGGACTTGACCTAGAAACCAACAAAACAGCCTTCCTGACAAATTTCTAGAATTTTTTTATCAAAACTGCAGCCACTAGAGTGTTAACAAGCTTTTTCTATTTTTAGCTCCTGTGACCTAGTTTTGACCAGACATTACCCATCTTCAAACATAACCTAGAAATCATCAAAACAACATTCATGACAAATTTTTAGAATATTTGGATCAAAACTGCAGCCACTATAGTGTTAACAAGCTTTTTCTATTTTTAGCTCCTGTGACCTAGTTTTTGACCGGAGATAACCCATCTTCGAACTTGACCTAGAAATCATCAAAATAATCTCCCTGACAAATTTCTAGAATATTTGGATTAAAACTGCAGCCACTAGAGTGTTAACAAGCTTTTTCATTTTTTAGCTCCTGTGACCTAGTTTTTGACCGGAGATGACCCAACTTCGTACTTGACCTTTGAATCATCAAAATAATCTAACTGACAAATTTCAAGAATATTTGGATCAAAACTGCAGCCACTAGAGTGTAAACAAGCTTTTTCTTTTTTTAGCTCATGTGGCCTAGTTTTTGACCGAAGATGACCCATCTTCGAACTTGACCTAGAAATCATCAAAACAACCTTCCTGACAAATTTTCAGAATATTTGGATCAACACTGCAGCCACTAGAGTGTTAACAAGCTGTTTTATTTTTAGCTGCTGTGACCTAGTTTTTGACCGGAGATAACCCGGCTTCAAACTTGACCTAGGAATCATCAAAACACCTTCCTGACAAATTTTCAGAAATTTGGATCAAATCTGCAGCTTCTAGAGTGTTAACAAGCTTTTCTATTTTTAGCTCCTATGACCTAGTTTTTTTACCGGACATGAATCATCTTCGAACTTAACCAAGAAATCATCAAAACAACCTTCCTGACAAATTTCCAGAATATGTTGATCATAACTGCAGCCACTAGAGTGTTAACAAGCTTTTTCTATTTTTAGCTCCTGTGACCTAGTTTTTGACCGGACATAACCCATCTTCGTACTAGATCTTTATTTCATTGAGACAAACATTCTGACAAAGTTTGACGATGATCCACTCAAAACTGTGACTGCTGGATTGTTAACAACCCAATTGTTAACGACAAACGACGCACGACGACGGACGCCGGACATATCACTTTACCTCACATTGACCACTTTGTTGTCAGGTGAGCTAAAAAAAACATAGAGCTAGAGCTTAGATATTAAGCAGGAATAATCTTCTTTTGGTGTCCACCAAGTTTGTTAAAATAAAAGTCCTAGATTCAAATTTGGACCGCCCTTGAGAATTGATTTTCTATATGTGTATATGGTAAAAGCTTAAAAAAAATCTTCTTTTAAAAGCCTAAAATAGCTAGAGCTTAGATTTTAAGCATGAAACATTTTCTAGTGATTGTCTACCATTGGGGCATTTTAATGATGTTTTCTTTAAAATGTATATTTTTACTTTTAAGTTAATGTTATTGTACTGATTTTTTGTGACCCTTTTCTTTGATTTCTCTAACAGAAATTGGCATTCTGAATGACACACTACATAAACATTACATTGTGAAATTTATATTTCAGTTAATACCTCGTCGATTACATTTGGTTTAATTGATGATCAATGCAGACTGACAGAGGAAAGAGATTACGTTTTGGAATGGTATTATTATATATATTTACCAATGAAATGACAGGATAAAGCATGCATATTTTTTTTTCTAAAATGTTCATTAGATACATTTCATGAACCTTTTTAATTTTTAATTTAATGTCAGCATATTGGATGTGCTTCCTACTTTAAAGTTTTATCTAGATCATAAATAAGTACAGATAGATTTTATGACGATTCGTTGTCGTTCTAAAGTGATTTTGACAGCCTTTGCGATCCAATTGAATACTTTTTAAACAATAGCAATATATTTGAGTTTTTTATTGTACATGGTACTTTGCGACATAATTCAAATGTAATTGAGTAAGAAATTTCAAGTTTTGTTTAAACAAATTTCTTTATAATTCAGTACTTATCACTTTTGAAAATGTTTTTTCGTTATTTCTCCTTTATTACTTTCATTTATTTTGCAGGTGATTAATTGTAATGTTGGAGGTTCAGAACATGAACACAGGGATGACAATGAATTGTTGGCTTGTATAAAGTATGTATTTACAATTATGTTATAATACTTTACAATTATTATATTACACAGACTTTTATGAATTTCGATATTCCAAGACTTCAACTGTTAATAACATTTTTTCAATCATATTCAAATAGATAAAATTTACTAACATACTTTACCTTTCATTTATAAAACGCAATTGGATAAGCTTTCTAGCTTAATGCGTTGCCACTGTAACCATAGACCACTTAATATCATCATATTATTATTGCATTTTTTCTCTCGTTGATTAAGTAAATCTGATAATTCAATTGTAAAGACCTGAACAAATTTACTCAACGTTTTAATTTACCATTAGTTTTTAGATATTTCTGCTCATCAAAGATTTTACTTGGCTTGTTTTGATAATATTTTTATCTGATGTGTAATGAATGATACAATTTTCTTTATAACCAATGTCTTACGACCGTGCATTCTATATCTTAATCTATTTTTTCACAAAAACAACTTTTCTGTCTGCTTTGTTATAATGAGTCCATATATATTTTGCAACATTTATTTAAATATCTTTAATTTTTAGATGATCTATATGTAATGAATTCTGTCTGGTGATAAGAGAAATTTCCAAGTGATGAACAATATTTTGCCAGCATGAATTTTGATTATTGGAGGGGGTTCTGTCTTTTTTTTTATTCTAATAACCTCAATAAGCCGTCAAATAATTAAAGTAGACAACACTATATTGCGTGTAGATGTACATGTTCTTACATTCGTGTTTAGAGATTTTGTTCATTAAAAACGATTTCTAGGTTTATTTTCTGTCTGCTGACAAAACTTGTTGTAAGAAAACTTATCCTGATAAACGAAAGTGAGTGGCACGTATAAACATATAAAATATGTCCCGCTGTTAACGTGCATAACAACTATAGATCTTTTTACGACGCGGTCTATTTATAATCATAGTGTAATTAATAAACCAGGTAGGGAATATGTATCATTACAAATCATGAATTTAATGTTTTAGAAAAATTCGGCGATCATGAAATTTTAAATTACGAACAGATAGATAGAATTCTTTTTGGTTAGATAAGTACATGTTACTTTACTTTGGAAATCATATACTAGTACTTACAATTTCTTTAGTACTGAAAATTACTCTGACATATTTGCCAATCATGTAACAATGTTTTTATTTCTAGGGAGAGCAAAATAATATATTTAACAGAAGTAACTAGTGTAACACAGTTTTATTTTTACAACTGGAACAGAAACTAAGGATAAAAAAGTACTGCTTTGTTTGTTATGTTTTAAATGGTTAACCATTATTCCTAATGTTTTATCTGGAAACTTTATAATTCTGATAAAGAAGTCTTAAATGCTTTTCTACAAACACACTTAAAACAAATGAATATTTGTTTTTAACCTATTTGGTAGCTACTGTAACACCATCAGCCCTTTACACATGAGTGGCATATTGAATGTGAATCTTAATAAAAGTAATCACAATGGATCCCTTATAGATGTGAACATTTGCTATTGACTTTTACCATATATCTTATAAGTTTTCATTAGGACTGCAAATGTATAGTCCTTGAAAATGATACAGACTTCCCGATGTCATTGGTAACGGTATTAAAACTAACTCAAGTACTTGCAAACTGTAGAAAGCGTTTTCCAAAACATACAATCCCCTGCGGCACCTCATATGTTATTGTTTAAAGACTTTATTAAATTGTAGGTTTGTTTAATGGGACAGATTTCAAATTTACATATATGTTACAAAAATTTGTAGAACATTGGTGCTTTACACCATTGTTGACTGGCTATTACATAAACACTGCAAAAATGTATCGGTTTTTACATAGTAGAATAGTCAAGAGCCATGTAAAATTTTCAGATTATGTTATAATTTTCTCATATGCGACATCAATATGTTGCTCTTATTTACAGCCTGCTATAATTTTGAGGGTTAAGTTTAAGGTTTATATATCCGTTAAATCTCAGGAAATTTCTGAAACATGTGAGATTTCATCTGTAAAAATCTGTAAAAATTGTATATTTCTCATTGTGTAATCAATGAAAGTCATCATCCAAAAGAAAGTAAATTATCCAGCGCCCGGAAGACAACCTTTTGAAGAATGGTTTCAAAATTTCTCATTATTATTTTTTAAGGTTTAACAAATGTCAACAATGTTCATTTGTTGGTAACAATCCTCAAATGAGTTATAAATTATCAAAGCCAATGTTTATTCGTTATCAAACACATAAAATTAAAATAACTTTCATCGCATTAATAAGCAATTTTATAAATTGTGGAAAATATGTCACCGCTGGGTATACGTATAAAAAATTTATCTAACGGTATTGTGTTAGGAAATGCTTTATTTTATTTGCTTAACCAAACAATCATGCATCAACTTTGGTTATATTAATATCTATTATATAGACTCTATATATAGTAAGTTTATATTATCAGCGCAATCTAATATTTATTATTGATTTTCTTTCATATCTCTGGCCTCTTATGTCTTTGTATTATTAGTTATTTATAAGTCGTCTGCAATGTAAGGTTTCCAGTGGGGGGAAAAGATTTTATATTCAAGGATATTTTTAAGAGAAGTTTTGAAACTCAAAATAATGCACGAGTGGCGTAAACAATTGAAAAACCTATTCTGTTAAATTGTTAATTTTTCTCGCAAACAAACAAATATCTTCTAAATATTTTACAGAAGAAATGAGGAACACGTTACAATGACAAGGCTTAGTTTGCAAATGGAAGACACATTAATTGCATTGAAAGAAAATCTGAGATATATGAAAGACAAGTTAAACACTGAAGATAATAATGGAAAGTATTGTGCTGCTGCTGAAGAGGCGAGGGCATCCGCAGAAAAAGCAAGGGAAAACGCTGAGAAAGCTAGGGTGGCTGCTGAAAAGGAAGTAGCAAAAGCCGAGTATGCAAAGACAAAGAATGAGGAGGCTAAGACAAAGAAAGAGGAGGCTAAGGCAAAGGTTGCGGAGGCTAAGACAAAGGTTGAGGAGGCTAAGGCAAAAGTTGAAGAAGAAAGAAACAAAAGAATTTTTGAACTATTGAAATACAGCGGCAGTATTGGCATGTAAATATACATGATAAGATATGCTGATTATGCAAGAAGAGATATATCTTTTTCCGGTTTAATATTAATGATTTAGTACATATAAAGTAACCTAGACCAGGCGACATTTAATACAAAAAATCAGAAATCATTTTATTGGTACAGAAGATGATGTTTGAAAATCGCTATGTATACAAGAGCTGATTGTTTCGATAAAGATTTTAATATTGAACTCGATGGTATTGCAAAAAATACCTCACTATAAGAAATATCTGCATGTCAGAACACACAGGTCTATTTCCATTCATCTACAATATATTATTAATTTTTCAGGAATAACCTGCGAATGATACTTGGCAATGTAACAGGTAATAATCTTTGTGCTTCTTTCGTCAGTATAATTATGTGATTTTAATCTATATATTAACCATTTGATAAACAGTAATCTAATAAGTTTTGAAACCGAGTATTCCAATGTAAATGTTTTAATCTTAATGTTGTTTCATTTCTTTCACGCTTCTTGTTTTTCTATTCATATGTCATAGGTTCAATGGATACAACGTCTGATCTATATGTACGCACGAACACATTGGCAGATAGTGTTCCATCGGATACCGATAGCGATTACACGAAAAGAAAATAATTGCATAACTTTCAGCGAAATCACTGATTATATATTTAACAAGTAAATTTGCTCTAATGATAAAGAACCGTCGGCAGTATATTAAAATTGGAAAAATCAGTTAATGTATGTTACATTAGTGTGTATGTGTATATATAAATGTTTTTGCTGGTGCAGTCCCCGGGCGAAGCGAACATTTGGATAATTGGCTAATCGCCACTCACCGTCGATTAAAATATAATGTGGAATGAGCGTTCGGTCACTGAAGGAGAAATTAATATTATTATAGTATTATTATAGTTAGCTTTCCAGAGTTTGGTCATACTCGGCAGTTTGCCCACCTAACTGGTTCTTCAGCATAACTATTCGGTCTCTGTATTGTAATGACTACGTATCGAGGAAGATTTTTAAGTCATCCATGTGAGACTGCCAGGATATGATCAAAAATGTCTTGAATCTGGCGCAATAGAAAATCAAATATGCATTTTATGTGATTTCTAATCATGAACTACTGAAACTAAATCACTTACTAGGTAAATATTTTATCTCTTTTAATTACTAGTTTGATTTTCTTTCTTTTTTCTTCATTGTTTTTCCTTTTGCAAATATACACGGTATGTGAAAGGATGTGTAAAGTAAAGTTCAATGGTAATTATATTTTTTTGCTTATAGACAGATATTTCATCATACACTGGACAAATGAATTACTCCTTTCTTTTGAAAATTGTTATTTATTGTTATTTGTTTTATTTAATTATTTTTTTGTTTGTTCATTTTTAATAATTACATCATTTTTAGTTTGCTTCGCTCTATTAAGACGCAAATGATCACTCTATTTAAAAACACAATCTGAAATAATAAGGTAAAGTTGAGAAACAAAATTCGAAATTACTTCGACATTGGCGTATTATGCGTATGCACGACTCACAATCCGATATTTCATCTGCTTTTTCTGAAGAACACATGCTACAACTTGTGTCATTTTGATTTTGCTCCGTAACAGTAACAAATTTGTAAGCAACAATGTCCCAGTATAAAATTAAGATTCGGAAACTTCGGATGGGTATCACGCTTACTAGCTCACAAATGTTACTTTCTTTTTTAATCAATGTGTAACTTGTGTATCGTTAATAGTTTATCACTGGTATATTGTATCCTCCGTGTTATGTTGTATTTGGTTGGTATTTGCCTAACTGTTGTGTCTTCATTTGTTTTCCATAGTGTGGTAGTGTTATTGTAAATGTAGTCTGCTTCGTAAGAGAGGTCACGGCAAGTTGAAAGGTTGTATAAATGTGTTCACTCATATTTCTCGTGCCTGGCCCTAAAATTTCTTCTTGCTTAAGTAAAATATTTCCCATCGCCAGTTCCATATAGTAAGAGTAACCGATAACATTATTTACAGTAAAGTTGTGTTACATGTATATTAGTCGTTACTTAATAGTAAACTTGAACATCATTTATTGAAAGTTCTTGCATGGTGATCCTGGTAAGAATTTATATATTTGTGATGTCAAATTCTTTTCCATTGATAAATTGGATAAAATGTGTAATTTTATTGTTCTGTTAATCACTTATTTGTAATTTCCTTTGTATTTAGTTTGAAGGCTCGTTTTTGTATGTCTAATAATAAAAGAATGAACTAGAAGAAAGTCTTTGATAATTTATCTCCGGTTTCATATATAAGACATTACGTCCGCATCTCAGAATACATCATGCACGTATATTTTTATTTAAGGCGTCGAATATGTTCTTTTTGCTTAAAAGTTCTACCAGCAGGCCACTTAATTAAGTAACAAAAGACTCAGGACCCCATGCCTTTATCAAATGTATCAGCGGTGATTTGACGTGTGTGCACAACATGCGACTTAACCTTTTACCTCATGAGCATATTGCGAAAAATGGCCGTTTTCATTGAAAAGCCTCCTGTAACAAATTCAAACTGCTATGAAACTATGAAAAATGCTTCAATACTAATGAAACTTGGCACAAATGTTGGCTACACCATAGCCTCTGTAACAGCATGCTCAATGGTAAAATTTCCTGTTACCATGGCAACGGGGGAACGTCTCAAAATTGCCAAAAATCACTATTTTGCTTTGTTTTTTTTCCCATCAAAACTGATTTCAAAGTGCTGCAACTTCTCAATGAATTGAGATAGAGTAAAAGGCTTTTCAGCGTCGGTAACTAGTTACCCTAAGATCGACCTGAGGCCATTTTTAGCCTGTCACATGTCCAAAATTTTCTTGGCGATGAGGGGGACTCCGCCCCCTTCAACCCCCCCCCCAAACAGAAGGGGGCACATCCCCCTTCTGGCAACCCCCTGGTGTAATATTTGGATGGGGGACGGCGCCGAAAAAGGTGGTCACTTTTTTAACAACATTTCTCCAACGAAAAGCAGTGTTTGTGGCCTAAATATGGCATTTTTCACTGTTTGAGGCCTCAAAAAACGGGGGGGGGGGGCAAAATGCCGTCAAAACACGCTTATATAAGGGAAAAGGTTAAAGTTTTATTCAGGAGATATATGCATTTCAAATGGGAGTACATGTACTTCATGTACTTAGAAGATTTGTAGAGTATAAATATGCCCATTAGAAAAATTATTGTTAAGATAACAATGCTAGTGTGCCAATGTGACAAGTGTCAAAAAGTTTCCAAAGAATAGGATTATCTTTAAAATGGCCGATGAAATTTGCATCATAGTAGTTATAAATCTTGAATATTTTGTTTGAATGTACCTTCAAGAAAACAAGTTTTTCCCCGCAGATTTGAGTTTTCCTTTCTGTATTTATGAGTTTGGTTTTGTAACGACATACATTATGAAAGCTTGCGTCACTTAAATTGTTTAACGACCGCGATAACAAGTAATGACAAGCATGTAAATAAGCACCAGACATTAAAATAATATTTAGCCGTAACCATTACCATGATAACTGATCTTTTTTAATTTTCCCATTTTTTCACTTTTTTTATTTATTTTTTTTTGTAAAAAAAGTAGCGATAAAATGTAAATATGTACGTTGCAAAGTATGCTTGTTAAATAAAATATAATCCTATAATGTGTTGACTTTGCTTTTGTTGTTTTAGAAATACTGTGCATCTGAGCTTGTCGAGTTTGCATTCGTTTAAGAACATGTATTTAGTATTTTGAATTCATACTACATACATTGTATTAATTAAAGCAGGCCAATCTGATTGCGTCTTTTGCATAACAATTATACAAAATTGTATATTTAATTAGAAATACATACCTGTCACAAGAATATGATAATTAACTTTTAAAACATTCTGAACCCCGATGCAGTTGGACAACAAGGGACATTGTATGACCGCACATTAAGCAAACGATAGTTGCCGGCAAATGCAAACACGTGTGAATGATGTAAATATATAAAACAGTTGTCTATATGGAACGTTATATTTTTATCAACTGTCCCTGTATATAATTTTAACGTGTAAATTAAATTTGGAGGAAACAGTACTTATCTGTTACAAGTTACAGCCTTTTAAGAACTTCCAAATTGTTCTATGCAAGACATAAGAACATTGGAAGTGTTGTGTAGCGTTAACAGGAAATACCCCATCGAAACACCGAAAACGAAATTAGAAAGGTTTACGTCTAGTTCACCCAAGGCAATGTTTCAACTTATTCAACTTAACAATTTTGTGAGGCTGAATATGTCTGGTTTATTAGCAGTTTTTGCTTTTCTTCAGCAAACTGAATAGTTTTGTTAAATTGGCGATTAACTATAGCGTATTTTTGAACAATGTAAAAATTTACCACTATATCAAGTCGAGAACGCATTTTCTGTTACAGTATTAATATTCTATATTTATATTTTGTATTTTATACAAACTAAAGATCACCCTCTATGTGTATTTAAGTGGTCATCCATAGCCATCAACTCGAGCTGCTTTAAACAAAATTTTTGAATAACGTTCTTGATCGAAACAAAAAATGAAAAAGGGATGGCTATATGATAATTTCTTTATGTTTAGCCAAACATTACATAATGTTAAATCAGTCTTATTTACAAATCAATGCTTTTTTCGTTGAAAAAGACATAAAATTCAGTCTGTAAACAGAGATGCTTGGATACACTGAATGCATTAATTTCAACATTAAAATGGGACAAATTCACAAGTTGTTGGTTATTCCGCCTAATTATCAATAGTAAACTTTGCATATTTTCGTCAGGGAATTTAATTCCAGGTCTGTGGTTTCTTTGGTTATACACTAGGACAAAAATTTGGGTTTTTCCTCAACCTGATATAGTCATTCAAAGGAAAAAGACACACATTGTTCAGCTCTCTTTATTTATGCTGCCAAAAGTAAAATTTATGTATCTCATAAAATGAGTACGAACATTCTATGAACGAATCCAATAATTCGGACCGTTACATTACGCTCGTATATCTCCATTTTGTATTAAATGTACAATGTAATCTCAATTAAGAACACAATATATTTCAATTTGTTACTGGAGATTTCCAAATATGTTTAAATTTATAGAATTAATGAATACTGAAAATATATCTTTAATTAGAAAACTGAGTATATATATTCCAAAGGCATTCGTAAGGCGCTCAGATATTTTATATAGAGCTGGTTAGTCTGTTTATACTTTTGTTAAAGCTAGACTTAAAGTACTACAGCGTATGTTTCTCTTATTATATCATTGTTCGAATTGACATGTTGGTCAATATTTGTTAGTCATATGAATATGAGAAATTTCTTCTATGTCAGACATGTAAATGTGTGATACATCCTATATAATTTAATTTTTACAGCTCTTGAAAATATATGTACGGTATATCTCAATGTTTATCTTACAAGCGAAACTGCTGTTACTCCTCATATCTTGTCATTGATGGCAAGATCTGGGAAAGAGGAAATACGTAAGAAAACATACATCTTTAGATTATAGTGCAATTTACCGGGTGGGTAATCTTGTTATTTGCTTTTGACAAGATTATGCCCCTTAAGTTTTCAATCTATTCTTCATTTATAGAAGTGCAGTGACGCCATATACATTTGTTTGGATAATGCACATAAATAAAGCAGTTTAGGATATCACCGTTAATCAAGTGAAGAAATATATTATATACAATCATATTGGTATAGCGGTGTACATTGAACGTTCCACAACTCGATATGGTCAGTCGATATGACCATATTGATTATCTCCCATATAAAATCGCACAATACGTAAAGTTTGCTATCAGTAACCAAATTTATTTGTACAAAACACATTTATATACAAATTGTTCCATTTTATTAGATAACTGCAGTACATTATGTTAAGAAACTATATTGCATGCCAATATATTGTTATAGCTATAGTGCGGCGGATGTTACATAACTCGATATACAGGTCGAGCGATAAGACCATAGCAATTATCTCCCGTGCACAATCAAATTTGTTAAATCATTACTATTATCTAGTGTGTAAAAATGTGTGTAAAACTCACACTTTCCATATCAAAATGATTTAAATTCAATATTCTATTGAGAAAGATCTTTAATCTGTCTTATTATCTATTTCACTAGTGATAGATCTGCTCTAATATGTAAAGTTATTACAATTGGATTTTTATCACACTTTATTATTCTTTTAAATCTTAATGTTGCATACAAACTATTGACACATACGACGAAAATTTGAAGTATTATAAGCATGTACATCACGAAATAAGTGAATATATGTTTTCATTTCCTATGCAAAATGTGCTACTATAATGCATGTGTGTGGTCATGTCAACTTAATATTGATGCACGTTTGCCATAATGTGTATTTTTGTTTATTGTACCACATGGGTCTATGACCTTCTGGAGAAAGATAAGTAAACCTGTTAAATTTGTTATCTTAACCACTTTTGTATTACTTGAATATTTTGTGCTAGAATACGTCTTCAATATTTCAAAGTCAACTGTATTGATTTCAAACTTTACATGTTAAGAATAAATACATGAAGATAAGTTTTCTTCATCTAATTATCGTAAATATACGATAGTCACTTTATTATCGCTTAGTTGTTTCCTTTAAAACGGTACAGACTGTATTTGTTGTCTATTTTTACAAAAAAGACTGTTTTAACATTATGTAATGTTTGGCTAAAATGTTCAGGTAGCAACCCCTTTTGCATTTCTGTGTTTCGATCAAGACCGTTATTTGAAATTTGTGCTAAAAGCAGCTCGAGTTGATGGATGAGCAATCAAATACACATAGAGGGTAGTCTATAGTTTGTATTAAAGTTTTGGACTTGATATATTGTTATAATTAACATCGTTTGCAAAAATACAAACAATACACTAAAGTTAATCGCCGATTTAACAAAACTATTCAATTTGCAAAACAGCAAATACTGCTCAATAATATCAAGTTTCACAAAATTGTTTAGGTTTGAAAAAATCGGTTAAGTTATGTTGAAACATTTCCTTTTGTGAGCTCCACTTAAACCTTTTTACTTACTTTTTCGGTGTTTTGATGGGCTATTTCCTGTGAACGCCGTACAATAGTGTCGCTGTTCTCATGTCATACACAGAACAGTTTGGATACGTTCTTAAAGGGATAGTAAATTGTGACAGATTATTAATGTTTCCTCCACGATTATTTTACAAGTTTAAATAACATACAATAAAATACAAAAT